GTCTAAATGGATAGAAGGATGTTTTAAGGACGTGGCAGTGAGGAAGACAAGAGGAAAAACGGAGGAAAACATTCTCTGTCTATCTCTGTCTCACTCTCTCTGTCTTTCTCTCAAAGTTTTGTACTTGCTAGGCTGGTACTGTACTACTTGAGCCACACTGACAGCTCAGCATTCTCACTTTCTAAAATGTATTTCCTTGGTCTCATCAACCTACATGGCCTTGTTAATCACCTAAAACATCATCAGAAAGATTTGGGCATTAGCAAAGATAACAGGGAACAGGATCCCAGGGAGATAAAGTTCTGGAAAATCATCTTGTCCCAAGTAGAAAACATCTTCTGTGTAACATAACACGGTCATGTGTAGGAGGACCCAGCCCATATCCTAGTACTTTTGGTTCTTCATGTTCCACCACCTCTAACCTCCCTGCCCAACCACCTGCCCTCTCAGTCATATCCAAGAGCCTGCTGAAGGCTGGGCTCAAACATTCAAAGGTTCTCAACTGCAAACTACAAATTTCTTTGCTGCATATTTAATGTATTGGATTCAACCTTTATAGTTGTTTTCATAATTTATTGTGTTTTAGTCCTTTAGATTTATCTCTATCATATTCTCTACAATGGCTATTCCAGATTCCATTTCATGCATCTCCTCCTTCTTTGTTAGCAAATGATGATGTGACACCTTTCTCTCCTTTCCTCACCTAAAATGGGAAATGCAGAAATTTCATTTTTGCCCCCAAGCTAAGAAACTGAAGTATTTATTCACTTTTCTCTTCCTCTTTCCTCCTGATTGATAGAAAGGCTGCCCTCCCTCGTTTGAGTCTGGCTCACCCACCTCACTGTAGGAACTACCTCTTCCTCCTCATTCTCAGTGACCTCACAGGATTGTCTTTTCTCTCATAGCCATCTTTACCTTCTTTCACTCCAGGTCTCATTCATTAATTTATAACTGACCCGCTCTCAAAGGCAAAACTACCCTCTGTTCATCCTACCTAGGCTCTATCTCCCCTTGGAGCCACAGTCAAACTGGGAGCTCCCCACAGTTGGCTTGCACCTTCTTGGCACTCCTACCATTGTGATCAATGACCTTCCCTGTCCTTGTCAAATCAGAACTTTTGTCATTCTAGAGACCATCATCCCTGCCTTCAAATACAACTTTTTAATACTTGACTTTTCTGGACCTTCCCAGCTTTTCTTCCATCCTAATCTGCACCCTAATCACATGGCATGCACCTAGTTGTTGCCACTAGACACTTCGGGCTGTAGCTGTGTGTTTACAATGACCTTCTCTTAAGCCAGAAAATAAAATATTCAAGGAACATGTGTATATGGCCAGTATCCCAACAGACACTTCAGATATTAGCTGAACTAAATTTTTGTAATGTTTTGTTGAACTAAATATGAATTTAAAATATATTTGGAAAGACATAGAAATAATTGTAAAGATATGGTAGTCCTCTGGGAAAAGAAAACAAAACAAATTGGGTCATTGAAAACATGTTCCAGGGGCTGGGAAGGTGGCTCAGTGGTAGAGCGCTTGCCTTGCATGCATGAGGCCCTGGGTTCAATTCCTCAGCAAAAAGAAAAAAGCCAGAAGTGGCGCTGTGGCTCAAGTGGTAGAACGCTAGCCTTGAGCTGAAGAGCTGAGGGACAGCACCCAGGCCCAGAGTTCAGGCCCCACGACCGGACCCAAATAAATAAATAAATAAATAAATAAAACATGTTCCAGAAATCAATTTTGGCCAAGAGCAGAGGCCTTCAAGTATGTAGGACATTTGGGTGTGTCTGTCAGGTAGGGTTCTGGAGTTGCCTCTCCTTTACCTGTCTTTACAGTGTGCTCAAAACCGTCCAGCATGCTTACTATGTCCTCTTCATATTCGCCAATCTATGATATTTCTTCATTCTTTCCTTGTATCTTCAAGAAAGAAGTAAATGCCAGTCAATTGTTTTGTGTAACACCTCCCAGACTAAGAATGGTGTTTCCAGAGGTTGTATATTTTGAGGTGAGAGAATCACAAAGTGATTGTGTATCCTCTCTGTGTCACTTTGGGGAGTGCATCAGATGATGTTGATATGTTTTGTTTTTTGACATTTACCTTAAAATTTTTCATTCCACCCTCCCAGATATTTCCATTATAATTGTAATTTCCAGTTCCATCTTTGTAATTGGTTTTTTAAAAATCTTATGAAAATATTTTGTGACTATGCCAACTATGCTAAATACCTTGTTTCTCCTCAATTCTTCAACCACTAATTTTTGCATCCATCAGTGGATTTTGTCCAGACATTATCATGGCATTTCCATAATGGTAATTCTGCAATTGTCATTTTCTTTACATATACTAGTTGGAGTATGATTCTATAAGAAAAGCTGTTTCTCTGGCTCTGTTTTTCATCAGGACAGGTCACATTTATTCTATGAGTTATTTCCAACATTATCAACCTAGGCAGAAACGTCCACTAGCCTCCATTTCTAAACAATTCTTGGAATTATTTAGCTCTAGTTGTAGAGCAATAGCCAAACAAGCCACAGAAACTCAAGGCCCTATTCAAACCCCAACACCACCAAAGGGAAAAAGAAAGAAAACACATTGGAATGGAGAATGTAAGTAATAGCTTATTTTGCATTAAAATATTATATGTATGATTTGTATTTTAAATATAGATCTATATTTTCCAGTTTTTCGAAATGAGTATCACTTTCATATCCAGAAAAGAAACAAAACCTAAAAATCATGCCTAAAATAAAATTTAGAGGTAAAGATGATTTACTAAAAATGTCCAATCAGAAATAAATTACCCAGGCCCAGAGTTCAAGGCCCACGACCAACAAAAAAAAAGAAAAGAAAGAAAAAAAAATGAAATAAAGCAAAAGCAAATACCTCTCAACCTGTCTGTTCTCCTCTAGATAGCTGTCTAGCTATAGACTAATATACCATATTATACTTAAAAGAATGACCTTTAAATTCCTGGGACTCTGTCCATTGAGGACATGTGTGGACATGTTCATCTTTATCTCATTTGTTCAGAATGTTGTTGACTCTTCATTATAAATAGGTATAGTTTTTTTTTCTTTTTTTTTTAATTTATGATCCTTCCTTGTTAGGATGCCATAACTCACACTACTTATTTTGAGATTCTCAGCTGGTGTTACTCTCCCCATTTTAGGGATAAAAATACCCCTAGAGATTGAGTAGATTCTCTCTTCACTTCTGCTGGGTTCCTCTACACTGCAGGATTTGTTTGCCACCTAAGACATTATCTTCTCAGTCATAAACTCCATGAGATTAGCCTTCATCCTGTTCCCCCCTGAATTCTCAGGGCTAGCTCAGTACCTGATGGTTACTTGACACGTAGTAGATGATCAATAAATAGCTTCTGAATGTTCACTGAGTGTTGTAAGCAAGACTCTTCCAGAAAAATCCTGAGTAGCTAGGATTATAGGCTCGAGCCACCAGCATCTTTTTTTTTGTTTTGTTTTGTTTTGTTTTTGGGTTCGGTCATGGGGCCTGAACTCTGGGCCTGGGCACTGTCCCTCAGCTCTTCAGCTCAAAGCTAGTGCTCTACCACTTGAGCCACAGCACCACTTCCAGCTTTTTTCTTTTTGCTTATGTGGTGCTGAGGAATCGAACCCAGGGCCTCATGCATGCAAGGCAAACGCTCTACCACTGAGCCACCTTCCCAGCCCTATAATGGGTTTTTATATAGTAAAAATGGTTTAGTCTTTTTCTATTATGCCATTTGGGTTCTAGTTGTTAATTGCCTGTAGTTATGGTATCTTAAAAGAGAAGCTAGACTAACAAAGTTAAATCAACATAATTCACAAGAGGGTCTTCATTTCAAAGGAGGATCTGGTGTGTTAATTAGCCTATCAACAGCTTTATGCACCTAGAACTATTGTAAATGTCTGTGTATAGAAAAAATGTTATTTTAAACAGAGATACCACACTGAAGTTCCACTTCCTAACCTTATGAAAATCTTGCAATCATAGAAATTCAGAGAGAGAGAGAGAGTGTGTGTGAAGGGAGGAAGGAAGAAAAGAGGGAGAAAGGGAGGGAAGGAAGGAAAGAAGAGTTGGGCATAGTGGCTAAAGCCTGAAAATCCTAGGTACTTGGGAAGTAGAGACGAGATGATCATAGTTTGAAGCTAGCCAAGCAAAAAAGAAAACAAATCTTCAAGAGACTTCATCTCAACTAGTCAGGCACAGTAGCACATACCTGTCTTCCTAAGCTATCTGGGAAGCATAATGGCTGAGTGGGGTGGCATAGCTGTCATCTCAGCATTGTGGGGAAGCACGAATAGAAGGACTGAGGTCTAGACTTGTCTGGGTATAAAGCAAGACACTAGCCAAAACATAACCCTGCATGCAAAAAGGAACTGGTGGAATGGCTCAAGTAGTAGAGCACTTGCCTAGCAAGGCTTTTAAGTTCAAACTCCGGTATTGTGAGAATAAAATACTACTAAAGTATTCAAAATTACTAAACCCCACAACACTACTAAAGAAGCTCAAAATCTCATCTCACATAACCTAATATGGCATCTTTGGACTTCATATTTCTCTTCCTTATATACATTTTGTTGCTAAGGAAGGATTATGTGGTTATATTAATTTGGTCAAGAACTGTAGACCAGACCTTAATTTATTCCCAATGATCTGTGATAGCCAGCAACTTTATCACTTTACCTATAAATAGAACTGAATTAAACAGAAGTCTCCTAGTTTCAACTGTTTTTGACTTTGTGGATCAGAATGTTCCTTGTCAGGTGATGAGATGCTGGGAGGAACATTCTCAGGTAAAGAAAATCTGGTATTTTCTCTTTAGAACTATGGTAAGGAACATAAAAAAGAAAAGCATGCTATTCTGTAAATCTCTGTAGTTCCAGTATCAGTCAGCACTGAGCAAAAGTTTATCTCCAGTGTGTGTGTGTGTGTGTGTGTGTGTGTACATGTGTGTTCATGTAAAATGTGTAAAAAGTGAAACTTTTCTTCTTAACAGGTGTCCTTGTAGACCTGGGACTGGAGGAAAATGGGACGGCTCATCAGAGAGCAGAGAAATATGTTGTTCGTCTGGACAATGAGATTCAAAGCAAGTTTGACGTTTTTATGAGGAGGGTGAAACAGAACCCGTACACACTGTTTGTACTAGTTCATGACAACTCCCATGTGGAGCTAACGAGGTGATTGCTTCCGTGTGAGCAAACACTGTGTTTCTTCTATAGGAGTAGTTGTTACTTACTAAGGAAGTCCTTTAGAGCAGTGATGTGAAGGCTGGGGAACCTTACATTTGGCATCTGCCTCCTGGTAACTTTTTCTTAATCTTTCCTTGTGCCTGCACTTCCTCTTCCTTGTTAATTTTTAAAATTATACTCTGGGGGAATTTAGAAACTTCTGTTGAAACTATGGCCTTTCAGAGCATCGTGGAACTCACTTGCTTCAGAGGGCTCCAGAAGGAAAACATGCTTCCTGCTTTCCTCCCTAGCTCTCCTTTTTTCTTCACTTCTCCTTTTTCCTGGCCTTTATCTCTTCCCTTTGACCTTTAACAGCAAAAGAAATGCCACTTTAATGGTCTGAGAACACATCTGAAACCTCCCCTCCTTCCCTGGTTTTCCAGTTTAAACAAACAAACAAAACCCCCATTTTTTTCCATGGACTTATTAATGAAAGAACCATATATTGGTGTAAGGAGGCCAGTTTTACTCCCTGACCAAATTGTAATTATCTGGTATGGGCTATCTTTGTTCTTATGAACCAAAAGGCAAATCATTTTTTAAAGGAGAGTAGCAAATATCCACTGAGCTTGACATGTAGTGGAAATTTAGGGCATTCTTGCACATTTGTAGATTTTCCTTTCTTCGAAGTTAGGGATGAACTGGAACTTTTTTGGACTGTAATAGAAATGTCAGGATGACAGAAACACCTATTTAGAAGCTAAAATGTGTTTGATACTCTTCAATTTAAAATCTAGAAGTAGATTAAGAAGGACCTTTCATAACTTGTTAGATTTAAAAGGAATATTAAATAAAAAGAGGAGAGGGAGAAACAGAAAGCAGGGAAATGTTTTTGCATATGTCTGTCTTAGTGTTCTATGAGTAGAAACAGCTTGGTGACTTTACATGCCTCTTCTTTGGTATTGCTGAGAATGTACACTGGATGTCTTTGTATAATCAAGATTATTCTTAGCTGGGCACTGGTAGCTCACACCGATAATCTTAGCTACTCAGGATGCTGAGATCTGAGAATCATAGTCTAAAGCCAGCTTTGGACAGGAAAGTCTGTGAGTCTCTTATCTCTAATTAACCAGCAAAAAAAAAACAGAAGTAGAAGTGTGACTCAAGTGGTAGCATTGGCCTTGAGCAAAAAAGGTTAAGTACCAGCATACACACAACAACAAGGATTCCTTTTTTTTAAATTTATTTTTGAGTCTTTATGACATCCTTGTATATCCAAACTGGACAGAACAGAAATAAAGCTTCAGAGATATAAGTCTTGGTACAGTCATAGAAGGGGGAGGTCTCCCTCATCCCAGTCTAGAATCCAAGACAGGAAGGAGCCTTCCTTTGTGCTGGGGAGCCTTGGAACACTGTGAAGACATAGGTCTACTCATCACATTTTCATCAAAAGCTCCCTCTCTCGTTTGAACTTTCAAAGTAAAGCAATTCATGTTAACTACATGTTAACTTCATGTTAACTATATGTTAAATTCATGTTAAGTGCTTGTCCTTTGAGGTAGATCAGAACAAACTGAAAAGGGGGGTTGGAGGAGGAACAATCCTTGAAATCTGTCAAGAAAAAGTGTTAAGAAGGAAGGTAAAGATTTGCCTTCCAAATTATATTTTTTGTTTGGTTTTTGAGATGAGATCTCAATGTGTTACCCAGATTTGTCTTGAACTCCAAGCTCCCAGGGCTAGGATCACAGGCATACCTCATGTTTGGCTCCCACATCACATTTTGATTTTTATCTTCTCTCCATTTTTGAAGAGCTAGAAAAATAAGAACTTAACCATCTCTGTGTTGGCGTAGGTTTCTGCATCCAATCAATGAAGTAAGGAGGTATTAATATGACCTTCACTGTTTCCACAGTGTCATTTCAGGCACTCTGTCCCATGGTGAACCCAGTCATGGGTTGGCAGATAGAGTCATTAATTGCAGAGAAGTTCTGGAAGCTTTCAACCTCCTGGTGCTCCAGGTTAGCTCCTTTCCATACACACTACAGACCCAGCAGTCCCGAATCAGCTCCAGCAACGAAGTTCACTGGATACAGCTGGACACTGTGGTGAGTCTCCCAATCAATCCTGTACTCAGTGCCCCTGAGGGCAGAACTTGAAACTAAATATGATCAGAAATAAGCACGAGAGCTAAAATAAAAATAAGCCCCAGAGTTTAAAAAAAATCAAACTAATGCTTCATCCTCAGAAAGTTACATATGATCACAATTATGTTTTAGTTTTGAAATGAAGATGATGCCTTCAATTGGAAAAAAAAATAAGTGTAGAGGAAGCTTGACCTGTGAAGGGCGGATGGGACTGCCTTGGAGGAGTTCCACGCACTCGCATAGCACAGGAGAGGCTGCATAGGACCGTAGCGTATCACTAAGGAATCTTTTTCAAATATGACTGAATTGAATAGGACTGATATCGGAAGCAGCGTGTGTGGATAAAATTGCAGAAGTTAGTCTGAGTTTGGTAACTTTTTTTCAATTTGATATTACTGGAGCTTGAAATCAGGTGTTCACACCTGCTAGGTAGATGTTCTACAGCCTGAGCCATGCCTCTAGCCCTCATCACTTATATTTTAAAGAGTGGCCCTATTAACTTCCATTACAAAATCAGTGACATTGAAAACTTACAGCTCCACTTGAATGCAAGCATGACAGATTGAGGAACTCGTCACTTCTAATTTTTCAGCTGTTCTCATTCTCCAGACCCATCCAGGCTCTACCTGATCACAAAACATCACTTAACCATCTGCCTTATAGTTTTGCCAAAAGGGTATGTGTGTGTGTGTGGAAATGAGGGCAGATAGATACATCCTACCCAGAAAATTACAATGCAGCATCAGGAAAAGGAACAGGTGCAGAGAAAGAGTTGGTTAAAAAAAAAAAAGGTCAGGATGAGAAGGAGAGATAATTCTTTTCCATGTGACTGTGCCTATAGTCCAGATGAGGAAGGAAACAGAGTTGTAAAACTCTTGTTCCTGAAATGACTCAAAACTGCACCAAATACACTCTGTAGGAAATAAACAAGGCTAAAAAGCTCAGGGTGTACTCTAAGCCTCCAGAATCTGTAAGAACATCCTCTTGTCTTCTTGTAAAATCTACTTACTCTAAAATAATACCCAATTCCAACAAGCAGGATTATCTGGTTTGGGGCCACAAAAATTAAAAGCTGTTAGTGTTTTATATGTACCCTGCAAATCACAGTTCTGTAGATGGGTTGCTGAAAAATCTCAGGACCAAATGTTTAGCCCATTTCCAACAAAGTCTTTCAAAACATCTGGCATGCTGCTGCTTCTTTTTTTGTCTGTTGTGGGGCTTGAACTCAGGGCCTGAGTGCTGTCCCTGAGCCTCTTTGTGTTCAAGGCCAGCACTCTACCACTTTGAACCACAGTACCACTTCAAGTTTTTGAGTGGTTAATTGAAGATAAGAGTCTCGTGGAGACTTTTCTGCCTTTGAACCATGATCCTCAGCTCTCAGTCTCCTGAGCAGCTTAGGATTACAGGCATGAGCCACTGGTGCCCAACTCTGACATGCATTTTTAAAAATTATCTTTAAGTAGTTATAGAAAAGTTTTCAATTCAACATGCCAATTTATGAGTACAGTATACCTTGGTAAGTGTCACCCTTCCATCATTTTCCCCTCTATCCGTCCAACTGCTCAAGTTACCTACTTCTGTTTCCACTTACATACATTGAGCTTTTTTGTTTTGTTTTTGTTTTATTAGTCATGGGGCTTGAACTCTGAGCCTGGGCACTGTCCCTATACTCTTCAGCTCAAGGCAAGTGTTCTACCACTTGAACCATAGTACCACTTCTGGTTTTCTGGTGGTTAATTTGAGATAAGAGTCTCACAGACTTTCTTGCCTGGGCTGACTTTGAACCGTGATCCTTAGATCTCAGCCTCCTGAGTAGCTAGGATAATAGGCATGAGCTACCAGGGCCCAGCTACATTGAGTATTACTATAGTTGTCTTTGCTCCCCATTCTGGCATACATTTCTGGGGGTACTGATCTTATTCCTGATGCAGTCTTACTTCTTTTATCCTTGTTTTTTCCTTCCTGATTGCCTTATTTGTTTTTGTATTCTTGGTCTTTTAAAAGCTGCCTTATTTTTCCTTTGTAAAATAAATTGGAGAATGAGACTAAAATTCATGAACAACATGACAAGAAAATATGACTGAAATATTAATACAAGCTGGATATGGTGAGTGCATGCCCAAATCTCAGCTACTCAGGAGTAAAGGACAGACAGGAAGATCTCTATTTGATGCCAACCTGGGCCAAGTTAGAGACCTATCTGAAAAACAAACAAAAAGTAAAGTGGGCTAGAGGCATGGCTTATGGCTCAAATGAGTGCCTGCTTACCACTCAGGGTGAGACCCTAAGTTCATCCCATTACTTCAAAAGAGAAAGAAATAAGACATGTAGAGGAAGAGGAGGAAAGGAGAGAGGGAGGAAGGGAGAGAGAAGGAGGGAAGAGGAAAGCTAGAAGGAGGGAAGGAAGGGGAAGGGAGGGAGGAGAAGGAAGAGGGAAGAAGGAAAAAGAGGAGGAAGGAAGGGAAAGAGAATGGAGAGAAATGAAGGAGAGAGAAAGAGAAAGAAAAGGAAGGAGAGAAAAATACAGGGAAAAGAGGGAAGGGGAGAAAAAATGTAAAAAGAAAAACTGTAAGCAACAACAAAACTAAAACTAGATGCATGAGATATGAAAGCTTATTTAATATTCTGGGGCTTCTTCCTACTTTAAGGACAAGCAGCTTGTCCCATGTCTCAGGATCCTCTGAGGACACCCTTGGGTCATTTCCCAAAATAGCAGCTTATTTTTGTAGCAATGACTAAGTCATCATGAAAAGAAAAGGGCCAATGCTGTGTATTCCATGAAAGAGGGCAGAAAGGGTACACATTTTTTTGGGGGGGAGGGGTCTTGAACTCTGGGCCTGGGCACTGTCCCTCATCTCTTCAGCTCAAAGCAAGCACTCTATTACTTGAGCCACAGTGCCACTTCCACTTTTCTGGTGGTTTATTGCAGATAAGAGTCTCATGGGTTTTCCTGCCTGGGCTGGCTTTGAACCAGGATCCTAAGATCTCAGGCTCTTGAGTAGCTAGGATTATAGGCGTGAGCTACCGGCACTCGGCCACATTACATTTTTAACCTAATTTTTGAAATGATGAACTTCTATGAGTTATGTCATTGAATGATGTTAGAAAAGTTGAAACAGGAGATTTAGCGTTTTCAGAGTTCTGTGGATATCAAACATATCCAAATAGAGTGCTGCTTCCAGTAGGGAAAGATTAGGAGTTAGAAGCCATCTGTCCAGGTCTGTCTAAACCAAAACCAAAAAGAGAAAAGAAAGAAAACAAATCATCCCTGTAGTTACAATTTGCCTACAGAGTGTGTCAACACTCTGCTAATTACATACAAAATTCAATCAAAGTGAAGAGAGATGATTCAGATTTGGTATTAGGTCACATAACAAAACACAGTTTTTCTTTTACCTCCCAGGAAATAACCTCTTCATGTCTACCCCTTCACCCTGCCCCACCCCACACCCATAAAAACCACAACACACAGTATCCTGTCTTTATTGGGGATTTGCCCTGTGTTTTCAATCAGGAGGATGTGGGCTGTGAGGAGAAGCTGTACTTCGGCTTGAACGAGTACAGCAAGTCTCTGCAGTGGGGGGTCACCAGCCCACTTTTGAGATGCGACGAGACCTTTGAGAAGATGGTGAACACACTCTTGGAGAGGTAAGGACTTCTGCCCTTTGCTTTCGTTGTACTTGCAGATTGAAAATAGCCAAATACTTTTCTGTTCACATCATAGCAAGTTTGATAGAGCCCATGCAGATGACATGCAAAGCCAAATATAAATAGCTTTTTCCTAAGATGACCTTCTACTCCCATGAGTTTTCTATGGCTATCCCAGCCCAACAAAGGAAAACACTAACCTACAGTAAAATGGAACACCGCTTTTTAAAAAGAGACCTCTATCAAGAGACAGAAGGAAGTTAAGGAGCAATCAAAGCAGCTAGACATGTTCAGTTCTTGGCACCTTTTCTCTAGTCCCTGACCTTGAGGGCTGAAGATCAGAATTCTTCTGTCTTTTATCAGGTCTAACTTTGGAACTTTTTTTTTTCATTTCTGACCCTGAACCATGGACTCTTGAGTATGTAAAGCCTTTTATCTAACAGTGTCCCATCCTACCTTCTGCCCTAGTACTATTTGATCATCAACTATGGCCAATAAGGCTTTAGGCTGGGTGTTGGTGCTTCATGCCTGTAATCCTAGCTACTTTGCAGGCTGAGGATCACAGTTCAAAGCCAGCCAGGACAGGAAATTCTGTGAGATTCTAATCTTCAATTAACCACCCAAAAGCTGAAAGTGGAGCTGTGGCTCTAGCCCTGAGCACAAAAGCTCAGGGACAGTGCCCAGTCCCTGAGTTCAAGCCAAGAAAAGGAGAGAAGAAGAGAGAGGAGGGGAGAGAGAGAGAGAGAGAGAGAGAGAGAGAGAGAAAGACCCTGATTCCAATCACAGGTCAGCTATTTAATAATCTGTTCTATAATTTTGGTAAGAAACAAGGGAAATAAAAATGAGGACAAGTAGATGTATTTCACCCAGCAAGTTGTAATGCTGCCTCAGGAAAAAGGAGAAGCTCAGAGAAGGAGCTCATATTCTACAGCTGTTGGGGATGAGAAAACTGACACTATGACATTAATCCTTTTACAAAACATGTGATCTTAAATTTCCAAAATCATCCATGAGTCTCTCCTTTAAAAGTTTCCCACCTTGGGGCTGGGAAGGTGGCTCAGTGGTAGAGCGCTTGCTTTGCATGCTGCTTGAGGCCCTGGGTTCGATTCCTCAGCACCACATAAGCAAAAAGAAAAAAAGCCAGAAGTGGCACTGTGGCTCAAGTGGTAGAGCGCTAGCCTTGAGTTGAAGAGCTGAGGGACAGTGCCCACGCCCAGAGTTCAGGCCCCACAACCGGACCCAAAAAAAAAAAAAGGTTTCCCACCTTGGAGGGAATCAATGGGAGGGAATGGAGAAAAGAGACAGTATGGGAGGGGGAGTTGATGTAAGAGAGAGAGAGAGAGAGATGGGCTGGGAAGGTGGCTCAGTGGTAGAGCACTTGCCTTGCATGCATGAGGCCCTGGGTTCGATTCCTCAGCACCACATAAGCAAGAAGAAAAAAGCCGGAGTGGCACTGTGGCTCAAGTGGTAGAGCGCTAGCCTTGAGCTGAAGAACTGAGGGACAGCGCCCAGGCCCAGAGTTCAGACCCCATGACCGGACCCAAAAAAAAAAAGAGAGAGAGAGAGAGCGTGTGTGTATGTGTGTGTGTAAACACACACACAGAGAGAGAGAGAGAGAGAGACCCACTAAACTGTCAAACAAACTGTTTGAAAGGAGGAAAATAGAACAGGGGTGAACTTATTCAGAGCAAACTATACACATCGTGGAATTATCACAACAAAGCCCTCTTTTACTATTAATGTATATTAACTCAAAATACCACTTTTACCCATTTCATCTGCCAGCTTAGAATGCCTCTTTATTCCCCATAACATCAGAATTTTATAGCTTGGGGCTGGGAATGTGGCTTAGTGGTAGAGTGCTTGCCTAGCATGCATGAAGCCCTGGGTTCGATTCCTCAGGACCACATGAACAGGAAACGCCAGAAGTGGCACTGTGGCTCAAGTGGTAGAGTGTTAGCCTTGAATAAAAGAAACTCAGGGACAGTGTCCAGGCCCTGAAATCAGTCCCCAGGACTGGCAAAAATATAGCTTGTGTTTTAAGGAACTATCTCCTAAACTTCTGTTACAAGTTTTGTAATGATTAGAAATCTGTAGTTTAATGCAAACAGAGCAGGGAAACAATTCACTTGAAAAAAAGAAACATAATGCTCTGAGGGTGTGAAATGTAAATGCCTATATTTTAATGTTTTCTTTTATTCTAATTTCAGTTTTTCTACACAAACATAGATCATCCGTACTTCTCCAACATAGTGTCCCTAGGCTAATAATAGCTATGATTTATTGAGCAGCTGAAAGGACCAGCCCAGGATTAGTGAAACCAAGGCTTTCTTCACTTTGCCCCAACCTACTAAAACTTTACAGTATGTGAGGACATTATAGAGACCTAAATAAAATGAGACCCAGTTCCATAGCTGTCCGTTTGTATGATCTAAGACAAGTAGCTAAATTTCTCATAGCTTCTTATAAGTTACACAAAGGCAGTGGTGGCTGGAATACAAGTTACCTCTATTCCTTTGCCCTCAAAAGTCTTCAAAACCATGTAGTGTTGATGCCTCTGCCAGGCCTTTGACCCTGAGCTTTACTGTGCAAGGCTGGTGGGGGGAGGGGGGCTTGTGGTATTCTACATAGAATTACAAAGTGACACAAGGGTGACATTCCCCACTAGCTACCCACTGTTGGGTCGCACTTCTCCTGGCTGGCATCCAGAAAGAAAATGTCTTCACTCAGTCTTACCTTTTCAGACTTTAGGAACTTCTCAGCCAACCCTGGGCCTGGCATCTATCTTCTTGGCTAGTCCCTACCTCTTCGTGCTGTAAGTGGGGCCTCTTTACCTATTTGCACTTATCGGGTCATCAGGCCTAACTTCCTCAGAAAGAGCATCTACATGGGAGGTTTCTCTTTTACCTGCTCTGTAATGGTAAAACTTCCCACAAGAGCAAAACAGTCCCTTTACCTAGAAGTCCAGCAAGGGGAAAATAATGCCGCTTCCAGACTCAGATTTTCTCCTCTCCCTTGAGCAAGGAGGGTTCTGAGTAATAAGAGGCTACACCACCAGGGGGTGCTCTTTCCCCAGTCAGCTTCAATTTATTTTTTCACATCACTTTTTATAGAGGACAGTTACTGCTGTCTGCGGGACTGACCTCAAACCAGTAACACCTGTTATGCTTAATACTTCACGGATACCACAATAATGTCTTCATTTTCTTTACTGTAAACCTATATGTCATAAGGCCATGATACTGCCATTCTCATCCAACGGCACCAAGTAGAGGTTAGGATCCAGGGACCATCCAGCTTGACTGCCATCAACTGTTAACCTTGGGGGGGGGAGGATGGAAGGGGTAACATTGATGGAGATGAATTGTACTCATAATCTGACTCGTTGAATTGAAATTCCTTTATACAACTACAAAACATGTAACAAATAACCTACCTGGACCAGCATGCCTCTGAATTTAATGTGCATCGAGTTACCTGAGGGCCCCTAGTCAGCTACAGACCCTAGTTCAGTCATGTAGGGGGAAGCTCTGGTAGTGCTAACAAGCTCTCTGGCGCTGCTGGCCTGCAGACCACACTTTGAAAAGTGAAGCCCAGCTGACCACCCCTAAACCTTTTACATGTGCTTCAGCTGGCCCAACAGGCTTTGGAAAGGAAACTTCTCCTAGTGATGTGGGATCTCAGGTCTTTCTGAAGCTAACCCCTTCTCCCCCCCCCAATGTTTCATCTGATTTCCACTGCACAAGCTTTGCTGTTTCAGCCAGGCCTGCCTGTGGCTGAGTGCGGCTCCCCATGTTCTGTTGAAGGTACCCCAGATTGCACAGCATGGTCGTCCGCTGCTATCTTCTCATCCAGCAGTACTCGGAGGCCCTGATGGCTCTCACCACCATGGCGTCGCTCCGAGACCACAGCACACCTGAAACGCTCAGCATTATAGATGACCTCATCAGCTCCCCAGGAAAAACCAAGAGTGGGAGGGGCCACATGCTCATCATAAGGGTGCCCTCGGTGCAGCTGGCCATGCTGGCCAAGGAGCGGCTGCAGGAGGTGCGCGACAAGCTGGGTCTGCAGTACCGCTTCGAGATCATCCTGGGGAACCCCGCCTCCGAACTCAACGTGGCCACTCACTTTGTGGCACGATTAAAGGTTAGTAGCCGTCAGCTGTTTCTCTTCCAGAATGCCGTTTGCTTCTGTTTTCTAGAAACATGCAGTCTTCAGGGACATACGTTCTTAAGTGGAACTGGCTTCTAGAAATTCTGTGGAGCCCCCTAGCTAGCCCCCTCCCTCATTGCCATCCATGCTCCCCAGCGGCAGTGCATAAAATACAATGACCCAATCTGACACTATATTCCTTGACCTTGGAGATGCATCTTGACCTTGGAGATGCATCTAGACCCTGGCCCTGTTGTCTCAGGAAAATTTTGTAAAAGGTAAGATCTCTCAGACATGTGTGGGGTATCCCTTTGAGTATCCTCAACTCACTAATTCTTTTCTGTCCATCTAGCCCATCTGTCAGCCCGTGGCTAGTCGGTAAAGTATTCCGTTTCATCTTCACTTCTCACCTAGAGCGACTCCTAGCATGTGGACTCCCCCCAACTATTTGTTGGTTTCTTTCTACTTGCTTTGACTCTCAGCCCCCGGCTTTGGCTGGACTGACTTTGCCGGCTCTGGTACAGAGGGACTAAGTGCATGCCAAGTCCCTCACTGCCCCCTCTGCTCAGCCAGGGACTCTGCTTGTCCGCTACCCCTCCTTCCAGGCACGGATCAACTCACCTAACTCCCTACCTTATGCCTGGCTTAGGGTTTTTCTGGGACTTTTATAATCTATATGTCCTAGCCATTAAAAGACACGTACTAGAATACCCACATTCATATGGGTATGTTACCGAGCTGGCTCCTGTATGGCTGAGGGAGGCTGATGGAAACTCCACATTCTGCACACACTAAATCCTACGCTAAATTGGGCTAAGAAAAATCTAGCGTGGCACAAACTTAATGGATAGACATCTCAGGCAGAACCTTGTGGAAATCGCATTTCACCCTGGGCTGTAGTTTCCCATCTGTACAATGCAGGAGTTGGATTATATGACTTCCAAGAACTCTGTTTTAACATTCATAAATTACTTGGCAAACATAAACCTTTTTATTAGCTAACCTAAAGAGAATCTAAAATCCAGACAAATATCTCATATTTGCTTGGAGATAAGCAACTAGAACACACAAAATTGTTCAAAAGTGCCAATTCCTGTATTTAGTGGAAATTGTAACATGTATATTTCAGATATAGGAATATGTTTACCCTTTTAAGATAATGGTCATAAGCAGCATTGTCTGAATTCCTGGGATAAATAATAAAACTCCAAAAACCCCTTCTCACAGTGTAACTCATTGGGACACAGAGCAAATAAATGAGTGTAATGAAGAATTTTGAAAAGCAGATAATCTCCCACCTGTTCAAGGTGCAATAATGAAGGTGAGGCTCCAGGCTGGTTCTCCATTGACCTCGATTAAGTATGAGGTCATTTGTTTAGAAAGGCCAGGCACTAAGTATGAATCAGTGGGTTGTAAATAATGAGCCATTGTTTGAAAAATATTATTGAAGCTGTTTTTCATCTGACCGGCAGTGTATCAGAATCACCAGCAGGGCCATGTCCAAGGGGGGCCTGAAGTAGCTGCCTCTCAACACAGTTGTTCCCCCTCCATTTTGTGGATAGTTGCTGGGCATCAATCAAATAAAACAGCCTCATAGTCTCAAAATGATTGGATCATGTCTATACTCTGAACTCTGTATGAAATATGAAATGTTATTAGGACATTCACACCAAAGCATGACTATCTCTTGCTAAGTAATTCTGGTTGCTTTTTTCTGTATTATTGACCATCTTTACCATTCTCAGGATGGCACATTTGCCTATTATCTGCATTGCTGGTTAAAAAACAAACAAACACTGCTTCCTCTTATGATCTCAGTTTTGTGTTTTTCCATCCCTACCTGCTTAGGTAGTATGGTTAACCTTTAAGTATGACAAACACTTTGTCAGGACACAGATTCAAATATAAATAAATCAGTGGCTCCAAGAGGCAGGTGAAGCTTTCAAAAGATTTCAGTCGTCTTGAGACTTGTCTTATCCTGAAACTTGTCTTTCTGGTTGTCTTAAAGACCTTTGGAATAAAATCATCCTGAAGCCACAGTAGCAATATGCTAGGAAGCATTGTCTAGTATATCTGGCTAACTCATATTGGTCAAGAATAAAATTGGAAAAAAAAGGGGTGGGGGATGAAAGTGAAGTGTACTGAAAATAAATCTCTTTGTATAGCAACACATACCTGTGATCCTGTCATAAAAACCCAACCTTAATACATTGGGTAGAATCATGTTGGTCTCTGGAAGATTGAAACCCACTGGGTTTCAAAAGCATGGACCCAATGTGAAGGTCATAGGCAAAATGTTCCAGAATTACTTACTTTAAGTCAAGTAATAGGTAGATTCCTTTAACAAGAAATGGTTTAGAAAACAGATTTTCTCAATAGAAAAGTTAAAAATTAAACTTGCTGGAAGATTGGATTTTCTAAGGCCCCATATCTCAGACATAGCCAAAATTGTATTTTTTCTTCATTGGCTCTTTTTTTTCCTTTAAAAATTTATTTTGAGACAGTGTCTTGTTCTATAGCCCAAGCTGGCCTCAAATTCAAGATCCTCCTGCCTTCTAGTGTTGAATAATAGGTATGCACCACAGTGCCCAGCTTTCAGTGAGTCTTTTCTAAGTATCAGCATATCTTTTCTAAATATCAGCAAATAATAATGAAACTCTGTTATCTTTTGTTATATAGGTTTCTTCTTGTCCATTTTGTGCTTATGGAAGAATACTCTTCTATTTGAAATAAACCTAATTCTTGGGTATTAACACCTCTTCGCTCCCCAAAGCATGGTTAGAAGTGTTAGTTCATTTCTACATGGCAACTCCTGCTAGAAAGCTGACATAAAGTATAATTAGGTGCTATGCCTATAATAAGTAGAAAGTACCTTATCCACTTGAGATGGCCTATTTTTTCCTGTTCTAAAATAGAAAAATAACTGTATTATCTCTTTAGATTTGAATGTCTTTCAAGTTGATGGTGTTTTGTTCTACTCATGCTCATATTTTCACAATTGATGTTCCATTTATTAAAGATGTACACAAGTATGCTCCTGTATACCTGCATTAATATAATGAGAAATTGATGCTTAATACTATTTTTTTGCAGTGTCAGTACTAGGGCTTGAACTTGGGGCCTGGGTGCTGTCTCATAGCTGTTTTGCTCAAGGCTGGTATTCTGCCACTTGAGCTATAGCTCCATTTCTGGTTTGGGGGTGGTTAATTGGAGCTAATAGTCTTATGGACTTTGCTGCCTAGACTGGCTTTGAACTATGATCCTCACATCTCAGCCCCTTGAGTAGCTAAGATTACAGACATGAGCTACCACTCTCATGCTTCATACTTTATGAAGCCATGAGAAAACTGAAAACTGAACCACTTTCTAGTAAGGGCAAGCTGTTGGTTTTGTTTCCTTTCCCTTGATTCAGGCTATATTCCTTGTATGAGACTCTTTGGAGGCCTTAAGTCAATAATCATTTGTCACTTAGACTTAAGACTAAGTAAATAAGTTGCAAGAAGAAAAGAAAGAACCATCAGAACTGGCTGACTTCATCACTTTCTTGGTGAACATGTCTTTGTTGATAGAGTCCTTTTTAGTTCTGTTCTTGGTCATTTACAACTGAAAGTTTTCTTAAAAATCATTTAATACCAAAGTTTGCCAGTGATACAAGAAGAGTACATTTGAGTGCCTTGAGCCAGCTGGCTACTAGCTGGAAACGCTGTGAAGTTTGCATCACTGGCCGCATGTTCCACATTGTTTCTTTGGCCTGCGGGGTTAATGCATGAAGACTACTAAGATCTCCTATTTTATTCTATTGAGACAAAACCAAAAGGCCACATTCTCAGAAGTGCTTTGCAAATGCTTTTTTTATAGCAGCAAATTAAAATCTATTCCATTAGAGAAAGGTATCAGGAAGCACAGGGTGTTTGAAATCTATGCCTAGAAACCTTTGAAAAGGTAATAATGAGAATTAGGAGTTTTAGAGTTTGAACTTCTTCCTTCTGATCCTTTGTACAGACGTGGAGAGGAAATGAGCCAGAAGAATGGATCCCTCGGACGTATCAAGATTTAGAAGGTCTGCCTTGCATAGTAATATTAACCGGCAAAGACCCTCTGGGGGAAACCTTTCCCAGGTACCGTATGAATAACTGACTCCATTTGGAGTTAGCTGCCCAGCTGAACTGGGCATTTAGTTTGTTTGGCATGTCAGGGTTTCATGCAGGGACATAAGATACAGAGCCTTATTTGATTCTCTTTCAGCTTTTCAGAGAGCACCTAGTGGTTCTGGGAGTAAAACAGGTCAAATGCGGGGGAGAAAAATGGTTGTGTACAAGAAGGCTGGTAGCCAGAGAACAAGAAGGAAAACAGAAGCTAACAGGAGAGAGAGAGACAGATCAGAGACAGAGATAGAAATACAGATTTTTGTTTTGGATAAAATGCTTTGTTAATCTGCTATCGCTAAACCTCTCAAGGATCTCCCACAGACTGAAACGCAGCAACAATAAAAGCATCAGTTGAGTGCTTTTGCATGTGTGCCAGGGCATGCCCTAAATGCTGCCCATGCGTGCATCAGCATCAGCATCAAGCCTTGTACTGACTGGGCAAGCCAGCTGTGCTGTCTTCTTTTAAATCAGATTTTTTCATTTTTATTTTGTCTTCGCTGCCAGGACTGAATCTAGGATCTCACACAAACTAATGAAGCCCTCTACCACTAAGCTATGCCCCTTAGCCCCTGGCATATCTACTTTATACTTGAAAGAAAGTAAAACACAGAAAAATTAAGGCTGATGGTTGGTAGATACAGAGCTGAGATGTAAATCAGGCTTAGCTGGCAATAAAGCCGTGGGGTCCTCACTGCCTCATAACCTACAATGCCCTCCAGACAAGCGCAAACCCCATGTGCCTCAGCAGAGGGACTGGCCACCAAAAGAGTTAACTTCTGTGCAGGTCTTTGAAGTACTGCGACCTCCGGTTAATCGACTCGAGCTATTTAACTCGCACGGCTTTGGAACAGGAGGTGGGTCTGGCATGCTGCTATGTCTCAAAAGAGGTCATCCGGGGACCCACTGCTGCCCTGGACCTCAGTGGGAAAGAGCCAGAGCGGGCCCCTGCCAGCGAGAATGACTCCGAGGAGCTGCTCATCGACCTGGAGAGGCCGCAGAGTAACAGCAGCGCTGTCACTGGAACCTCCGGTCAGTACTCCTCCTCCTCCTCCTCCTCCTATCACAGGAGCCTTGGGTCAGTCCTCTCTCCTTCACAGGAGGAATGCAAGGAAGTAGGTGGGAGTCTGGAAGGCAGAGCCAGCTACTGACCCAACACTATAGCTTCTCCAGACTACAGTTCCTGGGAGGGACACAAGCAGAATAGCAGAACAGTCACAGCCTCTGTCTCTGGGAAACATTTGACCAAGTTTGGTAATAGGTTAAAGACAATAAGTGGATCTCATCAGTTGCAGCCTGCATCACATTTCCTAGTGATTCCCACCCTTATCTCTGCATGGTGGCTCTACAGCTCATATTTATACAAGTGCCCCCTTTTTCTGAAGCTGTCGGTTTGTGTCAAGTGGCTCGGTACCTGCACAGAGCTTTGAATGAATGAATGACTTTGGTACTTAGTGGCAAGTGTTTGTAGCCCACAGCTGCTCTGGGGCCACTGCTCTGGCGGGCAGTGGAGATCCACCAGGCAGCCTCCCACTCAAAGCATTATGTCTTATGCCAGGGCCTGGAGTTTTCTCCTGGTAAATTGCACTAGAGCAAAATACGGCTTTTGCTGATTATGAAAGTCATAAAACATTTTGGAAAACTTGGAGAAGGTATCAAAGTACAAGAATTAAAGCAAAACATAATCCAACCACCAGAGATAATCACCATTATTATTGATAATCACCATTATATGTGTTCTGCCTCCTTCCCTTTCTTTCTGCACTATCACTGAGATCATTTTGTCACTCTGACACACACACACACACATTTGTGTTCAAAGTGTGTTGCTCTTCCTCCTCTTCATTCTGCTAGCAGCTGTTGGATGGCTCTTTGTGGGAACTGAAGAGGCTGTTGCTGGTGGGGTCTCTCCAGTCATGACCCTAATTCTTAAGTGTCATGAGGCACTACCCCATCCTCTGTCCACAGTTCTCCTAGGTGTGTCCAGCTACTCTCCCTCAGCAGAGATCAGGGATAATCCTGTATTTCTCTACCTCCCTCAACCCAACTACCATCTAGAAGTTCCCCAACTTTCCCTCAAAGCCAGCTCAATACAGTTGGAGGATAGAAATGGAGGGAGGAGGCTGGGAAGGTGGCTTAGTGGTAGAGTACTTCCCTAGCATTCATGAAGCCCTGGGTTCGATTCCTCAGTACCACATACACAGAAAAAGCCAGAAGTGGCACTGTGACTCAAGTGGTAGAGTGCTAGCCTTGAGCAAAAGAAGCTCAGAGTGCCCAGGTCCTGAGTTCAAGCCCCAGGACTGGCAAAAAAGGGAAGGAAGGAAGGAAAGAAGGAAGGAAGGAAAAAAGAAATAGGAGGTAGGGCATATTGCATCTAGGAACACTGGAATACATATCAGGAGGGAAAAGATGGGGGGCAGGAGGAAGTCTGTCTCTTGGGGCAGGATCTGTGTTTCACTCCTCCTTTCCCTTCAACGCCCCTGCTTTGGCTAGTTCTGATCAGCTCATAAAAGGTAATAGTTTGCCCTTTGCTGTGTAGTTTCCTACCTCTTGGGCCATGATCACAACACTGAGTGTTCTAGACCTTAGCCATGGGCTTCCACTGAGTGTGGTTCAGAGTTGCTTGGCTTTAATCACCACCAGTTAACACTACTGTCAGGATCTCCCAAGGCTGGGATTTGAGCTGCGTGCCTCCTGTGTTCCAAGCGGGCCCTCGGTATAAGGAGCTTTAGGGTTGTCCTCAAACCAAATAGAAGCTTCTCTAAGGGAAAGGTACACTTAAAGTGAACTGGTCAAATCTGCAGGCATGGCCCTAGGGGCATGTACCTCCTCCTCTAGCAGCTCTACCTGCTGTCTCTCCTTTTCTTTTTCCACGGAGACATGGCCGCCTTAGAGTGGGAAGTAGCTGCACTATCTGCAATACCTCTGCAGCCAGAGGGGTGAAGTCCTCAGTTCCACCTCGGCCAAAGGCAGCAAATGCCCCGTAGGGGACTTGAACTCAGCACCTGTACCCATCTGGGCCTGGTGGGGCTGGGATGGCATCTCCTGGAGGATTTGAGGAAAGAAGCCGAGCAGCATCAGGAAAGTGACATGGTATCTGGTCTGGTTAGGAGCCCTGCAGGCCACTAGCTGCAGCTCGGTGGTGAAAAGGTAGTCACCTGAGAAGGAAGAATCAGCTTTCCACTGGGGTCTCCCATTGTCCAAACCCACAGAGAAGTCAGGGTAAAAACTGGAATGGAGGGTGTGGAGACCAAGGCAAAGATGACTGACATTTTGCAAAGGTAAAACAAAAACAATTACAGTTCAGCTACTAGTCAGGCGCAAGGACCCATTGTTCCATGATCTCGGGTGAGTTGGGGTTCATTGCAGCTGCCACCGGCTCTGTGACTCTCTCGTTGGTCTGCTTGTTGACGTCTTCCTCTGTTGAGTGGGTCCCTTTGGAAATGCAGATTTCCAGCTTGTGTTTTGTGTGTGTGCTGTTCCCACTGGCTTTCCTGGGCCTCGCCTCCCTTCTTGGCGCTGGACGGGGCAGGCCGGGATCAGCTCTGTCCATCCTTTCTCAGGGTCCATCATGGAGAATGGAGTGAGCTCCTCCAGCACAGCCGACAAGCCCCAGAAGCAGCCCCGGACGCCCAGCCTGCAGAGTCCTGCCCCGAGCCTGGGGCTGGGGGAAGGGGTCTCGGCCAGCGCGGGGGAGACCCTGAAGCAGGAGTGTGACTCCCTGGGCCCCCCAATGGCCAGCAGCACCACCACCCCCAAGCTTTCCTCGTCCTCCTCGGGCGCCCGAAGCCTGGCGTGGCCCGGCCAGCCCCCCAGAGGCTACAGGAGCCTGGACGTCAGCCTGCCCCCGGTGGTGATCTTATCCAAGGCGGCCTACGGCCTCCTGGGCGCCCCGAAGGATGGCAAGCTGCCGTCCTCCGCCTCCCTGCTGCCCCACGCCGATGTGGCGTGGGTGAGCTCCCTGCGGCCCCGCCTGCACAGGGACACGAGCAGCGAGGAGCAGTCCCTGTACTACCGCCAGTGGACGTCGGCCCGGCAGCACCACGCCGACTACGGCAACCAGCCCGACCCGGCCTCGGGGGCCCCGACCTTCCACCCGCGGCGGCTGCTGCTGACCGGACCCCCACAGGTAGGCGTGGGCCAGGTGATGGGCAGAGGTTGGGACACTGTCCCCAAGAAGTAGAAGAGCCAGGGACCTCTGGAGAGGGGGTGGATGGGTGGCGCAGGGCCTGGAGGACTCCTTCAGGCCTGGCAGCCGACCAAGCGTCCAGCTATGACATCTCTTTTCTCTTTTCCCTCCCTTCTCTTCCCCTCCTCCCTGACCTGCTGAAAACCATTTGCATCAGGTTGGAAAGACTGGCTCCTATTTACAGTTCCTCAGGATCCTCTTCCGCATGCTCATCCGGCTCCTGGAGGTGGATGTGTATGACGAGGAGGAAATCAACACTGGTGAGTTTCATGGCAAGCACCCCACGGGAGACACTGAAAGAACTGCAGTCGCTCCCACTCCTGAAGTGCCTCTAGTCCCTAACTTGCCTTTATCTCGTGAGTCCATTTATCTCCCCGACTTCAGGAGGCCAGCAACGTGCTGGACAAGGGGCCTTTTTCTTTCTTGTTAGGAAAGTTCACCGCTACGATGGTTATAACCAGTGTGAAATTCAGTTTGTAGAGTCCAGCTGTACGCGGCCAGGGGGGTACTGGTGTTTCACACTCTAGACACCAGTCCTTGGTTGCCTAGCTGGAGGATAGCCTGTAAACCTGTCAACGAGGCCTGGGGTTACTGTCATGAAATGAAAGCTCTGTGTGCAGAGCTGACCTAGACCCGTTCCCCTCTGCAGTGAGGGGCGGATGGGGCTGGCTGGCCAACCAAGATCCTTTTGAGGACGGTAGTATAGCCCTGGGTTCCATAGCCCTGGGTCCCATCCTTAGCACCCTTCCCTATTGAAAGGGACTGTGGGGAGGCAGCCAAGGCAACCAGGTGAAGTTCTTCTGAAGGTCCTCAAAGATAGGCCCAACAGGGACTCCCCTTAGCATCTATTAAATTAGTTCTTGGAAATTCCACCTCACTTGCATTGTGAAGATAATACGGTTCTGTTCTCTAACCCACACAAAGGACTGATATAGTTAGTAGTTCTATTATGGCTCCAGTCCTGTTTCTACATAGGAATTCATATCTATGATCTCTCTCTCTCTCTCTCTCTCTCTCTCTCATACACACATCTGTATGTAATCTCATCTTCCCACCCCAATTTTTTTTCTTGGGTCAAAACAGGCTAGAACTCAGAGCCTGGGCATTGTCTCTTAGCTTTTTTACTCAATTGGTGCCCTCCCTCTGAAGCCACACCTCCATTTCCAGGTTTTGGGTGGTTAATTGGAGATATGATTCTCATCGACTAGCTTCAAAATAGGAATCTCAGACCTTGGCCTCCTGAGCACCCAGCTTCACGTGTCCTTTTGTCCCTGGATAAGCTGTACTACATCCTCAGCCCCACCACAGAGGGGAACTAGAGCTCCAGGACAGCTGGAAAATGCCACAACCCTGAAAGGGTTTTGCCAGAAGGGGAAAGCTCAGGAAAACCAGCTGGAAGCTGCGTCCTGTATTCCTGCCAGCTCTGCCACCGGCTCCTTGGCACCACAGCAGAGCAATGCCCTTGATTTTACCTGCAAATCCTGCCACAGAGGAAGGGACCCTTTCCCTCTCTGTGTCACTCTGGCAGCTTCTGACATGGTCTGATGCACAGGGGAGACTTGGTTTGCTTCTTTTCCTCATTTTGTTTGTTGGTTTGTTGGAGGGGAGTGGCTAATTGGAGATCAGAGTCTCACAGACTTTCCTGACCCAGCTGGCTTCAAACCCTGATGCTCAGACCTCAGCCTCTTGAGTAGCTAGGATTACCGGTGTGAGCTGCTTCTCCCTTATTTAAGTAAGGGCTAGCATAAAGCAGCTATGGAAGGGCACAAACACACCTTCACTACAACACGCTTGAAATTTTTAACAGAATGCAAACTTCAGCTCAGAGTGTGAAAATAATGTAAAAAATAATAGCCATACTTCCAGTTTTAGATGTTTTTTTTTAAAAATTCAAAGTGTATTTCTTCCCTTGTCTCTTTAGGCTTAAGCTGCTATTTGATCTTAACATTTAATACCATCTACTGGACACATATCATGTGTTTTAGCACTTGCAATATACCATTCCTAATGCTAATAAACCTGTCACTTTGAGGAGTAAGTTTGGTTGCCTACAAGTATGAAGCAGTACCAGGATTCAAGTCCCAGTCTGGGGGCTCACGTATATTGGCATGCCTTGGTTGGTAGCTGGTGCCTGAGTAGTAAAAAAAAAAAAAAAAACAGTATTTCCTTCCTGCTAGCAGGGCTTGAACTCAAGGCCTCACACTTTCACTTCGCTTTCTTGCTCATGGCTGTTGTTTCAACACTTGAGTCACACCTCCAGTCTGGCATTTTGCTAGTTAATTGCAGGTGGAGTCTTAGAGACTTCTGCCCTGAGTAGCTTTGAACCATGATCCTCCAAGCTTCAACCTTCTTATAAGTTAAGATTACAGGTGTGAGCCACTGGTGCACCCAGCTAAGAGGTTCTGGGAGGTGAGGCCTGAGAGGTGTGTTTGGAGTGCCAGGGTGATTGTAATGTGCAGCTGATGGACATCCTAAAATTTCACACCTTAAAACCCCACACCTTAGAACCCCACACCTGGGCTGGGAAGGTGGCTCAGTGGTAGAGCACCCTGGGTTCGATTCCTCAGCACCACATAAGCAAAAAGAAAAAAAAAGCTGGAAGTGGCGCTGTGGCTCAAATGGTAGAGCACAAGCCTTGAGCTGAGGGACAGCGCCCAGGCTCAGAGTTCAGGCCCCACG